TTCCTCCGAGGAGTTCCTGAAACCGTGCATCACCCCCACCTGGGAAAGACACAGCGGGGAGGCATGGGGAGGAGTAGCTGAGAACACGGGCTTTGAGATCAGAGAGACCTGGGCTCTACCATGCACTGGCTCTGTGACTTTAGATAAGTGAATGAATCTCTCTGAGCCTCAGTGTCCACATGGGTCAAGTGGAGACTGGAACCCCTTAACTCACAGGACTGTCACAAGGATTCAGTGAGAGAATGGAAGTGAAGCTCTGATTACAATGCCAGGCACTGTAAACACCCTGCATACAGAAGCCGTGGTGATCAGGAATGTCCGTAGGTCAGGGTCCCGCAGGGCCACCTTGGAGCACAGGCCAACATATATTAAGGCTTTAGTGCTACTCCAATTAGAAAAGAAAATGGAACCATAAAAAGCTGCACTGGAGAAGTCCTTTGTGATGATATGTAACTTCTCTCCCATTCTATAGATGGGAAAACTGAGGCCCAAAGAGGGGAAGGGACTTGCTAAAGGCCACTAAGTCAGTTGGTGAAGAGCTGGGATTCAGACCTCTTGACTTCCCACTCAGAAACTCTTTTCCCAGGACCATCGTCACCTGCCTCCTACTGTCTATGTGGCCTTGGGTTGTCTCTCTCCCTTTCTGGGTCTCCATCTCTCCATCTAAGAATTCTCCAGCTCACAGTCTCTGAAGTTGCTGCACCTCTTCTGACCCTCCAAATGCCTCACCTGTGGATGAATGCAAACCCCATATGTCACCTGACTCACAGTAATTCAGCCAAATTCATCAAATTCTTGCCTTGGTCATCCTAGTTCAAAGCCCAGGACCCTAGCTAGGATTTTAGCTCATGGGTCAGCAAGTTTTTACTGTAAAGGGCGGGATAGTAAGTATTTGAGGTTTTGCAGGCCATGTGATCTCTGTCACAAATACTCAACATTGCTGTTGTAGCTTGACAGCAGCCATAGACAACAGGTCAATGAATGGGCTTAGCTGTGTTGCCATAAAACTTTATTTACAAAAACAGGCAGTGGGCCAGATTTGGCTTGTGGGCCATAGTTTGTTGACCTCTATTCTAGACCATTCCAAGCTGAGTCCAATATTTCCTCTGGGATTAGAGTAACCAGCTTGTCCTGGTTTGTGTGGGACTCTTTCAGTTTTAGCACTGAAAGTTCTGTATCCTAAAGAAACGTCTCAGTTTCAGACAGTCAGGCAGTCAGGATGATTGGTCACCCTGTCTGGGATCTGGAGGCCCCTGCTTTCTCTCATCTCTGCATTGCTCTGGCAGTGACATTCAACTGTCTCTGCCATAAGGAGGAGGAGGAGAAAGAATAGGAGGAAGAAGAGTTATTGTTTATTGTGGCTTCCAGCAGGCAAGGCACTGTGTGAAGGACTTTGCCAACATTACTTTGTTTGATCCTTATAACAATCCAGTGAGGTGGGGCTGAAGTTGCTTCTGGTAAAGGGTAAAGTCTGGACTGGAACCCAACTTCATCTGCCTCCAGAACCCAGGTTCTCCTACTGCTTCCTCAGACTGTAAGCTCACTGAAGACAGAGCTGGGGTCTCTCATTTCTGCATCTTCAGTGCCCAGCACAGAGTATGATGCTGAGAAGATTCTGAGCAAACACTGAATATCAGCAAATACTAATGCTGAATGAATACCCGAATGGATGGATGCATGGATGGATGGATGGACGGACGGACGGACAGTCGGACGGATGGATGGATGAAGTCTCACCACATTCAAATAGACACTTCCCACTTCTGTGACACGATTTATTTCTGCCAACCAAACCTCCAGGTGAGTTAAGGGGGGAAATGTCAAATGTATATTATGACATCAGTTACATAAAACATGCCTGCTGACACTGGGAGGCAATATGACATCATAGTTAAAAACACAGTCTCTGACATCAGGTGATCTGTGTGCAAATCCCAGAAAGCCTGGCATATGAGCTGTGTCACCTGGGCAAGTCATTCATCTCTCTGACAGAAGACTAGATGATACACAAGGCTCCTGGCACAGTGTGTGCACCTGGTAAACACTTTGTACATGTTACTTATTATTATTAGTGTTGATGTTAGGATGGACAGAAAGCAAGGTAGGAATGGGGCACCAACAGTGAGACGTACAGGTGCTCGTTATGCACCTCTGAATCAGTACCAGGGTCAAACAGGAGAAAGAAATATAGACGACTTACTGGTAACTGCATCAGTTAGCTATGACCATGACAATGGTGTGTAACAAACAACCAGAAAACCCCAGTGAGATATCTATGAGAGGCATTTATTTTACTGATCTGCTTGTGACCATTTGGAACTTGGCTGGACTCATCCCCTCACCAAGGTCGGGGCTTAACATGTGCCCATTCTAGGGCCAGGCTGAGAGGGCAGCTCTCCACCTAGCCATGGCAGAAACACACAAAGTCCCCTAAGGCCTAAGCTTGGAATGGGTATGCTATCTCTTCTACTTCACTCTAATGGCCAAAGCTGGTCACATGGCTGAACCCCAAAGGGAGGGAGCAGGGGCATAAGCTTTGCCTCCTCCTTGAATGAGAAGAGCAGTGACGTCTTATGGCTAAGGGCATGGATACAGGCAGGAGGGATGAAATGGGAACAGTGATGCTTCCACCCCAATAACCAGGCACTGGCGGACCTTGAAAAGGGGCCCCACAGTGGCCCAGCCCTGCCCTCCTCACCAGCTTCTCACCTCAAGGTTCTGCCTCATGAGCTCTTGAGCAAAATCTGGAAGGCCCCTAAGCAGCAATACTTGTGGTCCATGGGGAACCAGAGACCCACCCATACCCACCACAGTCCCTATCTTCCCAACATCTGGACCTGCTCCAGGGAGCCATTAATCTCGGGCAATTTCTTTCCTCACTTGATTTGTTTATTTAAGGAAAACAAGTTGCTCCTAATTAGAAACACTGCTGTCGAGATGTTTAGCACATCCTAGACTGCCTATTTTCAGACCTTCTGCCTAAAATTATACCTGTGCTTTTAACATCTGCGAGTTTGTTCAGCAGCCGTCCTAAGTGGAGGCTTCTGGTGAGATAGATTTGGGCTGTTACAGAAGGTGAGGGAGGCGGGGGCAGGGGGATACACCAGGCTTTGGAGCACTGCAAGGCAAAGACACTTGGAAAAATGAGCACGCAACATCCAACACTGTGCTCAGAGCTAGCACCAACTGCTGAATCAACACTCGGAAGGTGCATGGCACAAGCACAGTTCAGTCCTGTGGAGCAGGGAGAAGAGTGATCGTAAAGGTTCAGAGACAGTTTTTGCTTGGAAGCTCTCAGGTATGTTCACACCCCTCTACCCACACACTTGTTTATACCCCTAGAGACACTCAGACACGCCCTCAGAGATGTGCATGCTTAGAAGTACACACATACACACAGACATGCACGAAAGTTACACTGCTGCACAAACAGGCAAACACGCTCAGAAAAATACACATGCATGCCCATAGACATGCAAAAAGATACAGTACAACACCACTCAGAAATTCGCTCATACATGAGACGTGCACAAAAGTTACACTGGAACACACAGAAATACACCTTCAGAGACACTCGCATGCACACAGACACACTCAAGTGTACACTGCAACTGACACACCCAGATACTGACACTCACAAACACACACATACACACAGAGATACGCTCAAGTGTGCAATGCTACACAGAGGCACATATACTCAGAAACACCTGTATATATGTCGAGAGATCCACAAAAAGTTCACACTGTAACACACACAGGCACACACCTATAGAAACACACATGTATACGCAGACACAATCAAATGCACACTCTAACATTCACAGATACACATGTTCAGAAACTCACATATACACAGAGACATTCATAGCGATTACACCACAACAAACAGATGCACACACATACAGAGACAATCAGGTGTGCAATGCTACACATACATATGCACATAGAGGCACACACAAAGGTACATTAAAAAACATGCAGATACATAATGCCTGTAAGTGCACAGCACCAGCTCACACTCACATGGCTGTATGCACATGTGTACAATCACATATATGCAGGCACTGAGAAACGCCCACACAGACATGCAAATAACACACACAGCTATGAAAACATGCACCAGGCAGACAGTACAGCTTCATAAACACGGGTATTTCTGCACAGACCCCCTAGAGCACACATATGCATCTGTGCAGGCATGCACCTGCTTAGCCCAGACACACATGACTCACATATATACAACTGCTTAACATTCACAAGCGTATATACATACCCACCCTTGCACCGATTTAAACGTGCACCCATTCTCTTGCAGGCATGCACACACACACTCATAAATCCATAGACATGCACACTCAAGCTCATAAATCCATCAGACACCAAGTACACACTCACATTGACACTATTCACACTTATGATTCTCATGTAAGTTATGCTCACACAAGCACATGAGCACACTCCTGCATGAGAATGCACACATATGCACACATTCACACAGGTGTCCACACACACACCTTACTCTACCATGAAAGCAAATTTTTCGTTTTTCTCAGAGTCTTAAAAGTCAAGTCTACAGATTAAGCAAGCACACAGTGGAATTGCTCCTGTCCTCCATGAATTCAATCCATGTCACTGGGATGGGGTCTGCCTTCCCCACTGATGGTTTCAGCACACACCTGAGGCAACCCACAAGCCTCAGAACCACGCAGAAAATAATCTCACTGACCAGTCCACTGCATTCCCTGACAATTTCAGCATCCTCCCATGCGAGCATACGCATGCACACACACACACACACACACACACGTACACACACACTGCTGTAAGACACTTCTTTCCCCAGCGTGACTTGTCCTGCCAAGAACAGTAGCCTTGTCTGCCCAGCATGGGGTAGTTCTCAAGCATCAGCTGACTGAGCGCCCTACACGCAGACATCCTGAACTTCTCTGCCCTGGTCCCTAGAGAGCTGCAAAGTTGAAGCCATGGAGACTGCCTACCTCCACCTCCTGATGTCCTGGCGATGCAGCAGCTGGATGCACCCAGAGCTCCCAGACCACCGTGGGCTCCCCACTAGGAGTGGCTGGTCCAGCAGAGATTTTATGAGAAAGCAGAGAGAGGGCGGGGACTGCAGTGTCAGGTGACTGGAGAGAACAAGGGCCCTGCCATGCAGTCAAGGATCACCTGGTGTTCGGTGGGACAGGGCCAGCCTCCCTGGGGAAAACAGCATCCAGATAGATGCCCACACACAAGACTCGAAAGCAGGTAGCCTTGGCACCGTGGAGCTTCACTCTTTGCTAAACTCTACACTCAGCACCCTCCAGGCACCATCTCAGTTAGCCCTCTCAACAGCTCTCTAAAGTAGGAACTGTGAGCTCCCCATCCTACAGTGGAGGAGCCAAAGTGTGGAGAGGGAAGTGACTGGTCAAACTCAGATCTGATCTGAGACCTAGGTTTCTTAAATTCTAAATTAAGATCCCCTCCTGGGATTATGAAAATCTCATCAGTGACAATCACTCAGGGCCATAGAGTGTCTGAACTGAACTGGGACCTCTGATGATACATGAAATCTCTTCATTTTTGAGAAGCCGCAACTGAAGCCCAGAGAGGTCTAGTGATTTGCCCAAAGTCACACAGCAAATGAGAGCCAGCTTGAAGTTCAACCTCCTGACCCAGACCCAGGGCTTTTTCCAGGACATCAACGTCAGATTCTGATGCCCTGGAGGAATTCTTGGGTTTTGGCAGCCTAGGGGTGCAGCTCCTAACTTGGCCTGAGATCAGAATCCCACGTCACACCCCAAGAACTGTTTTTTTTTTTTTAAACACAGTAATGCTACTCCTCAGAGGCAGATGCCAAGCCCAAGTAGGTAGCACCATGCCATCTATGGGGCTATGACCACAGGGGCAGCTCCAAAATGATCCTCAGAGACCAGGTGACCTCCTTGGAGCATGCTTTTTACTAATAGAAAAAAACCATCTAACCAAACTCACGAGCTGTGTGCGGGGCTCAGCAGAGCCTCTAGGGGCCTGGAGTGTGAGGATGAGAATGCCAGGAGCCCCTCTCCATGTGGCCCTTCCAGCCCCTTTTCTGCAAAAAGTTTGCACCTCCCCAGGCTCCAATAGGAATGGTCTCATTGAGCAGCCCAGGAAACTTCCCCTATTTTTTTGCTCACCTAAGGAGTAGCCCCTTTGAAGCTGTAAGAATTAGGAAGTGACCTCCACCCTTCCTAGTGGTTCTGCCAAGGAGGTGAGTTGGCTCTTTCGAAGATACCTGGGGCTGCTGGAAGGGCTTGCAAGAAGGCGATTTGGCTGAGTTGGTCCCCTAGTCTCTAGTTCCCTCTCTCTCTTTAGACACACACACACACACACACACACACACACACACACACACACACACACGCACACCCCAGAATGGACATAAGCAAATCTGCAAGGCACCCTACACAAAGCCCATTGCCTGGGCAGCTCTGGCTGTTGGCATCAGATGACAGGCAGCCTCATTCACCAGAGTATCACCCCCAAGAAACATCTTCTACAGCCAACTTGGAAATATGACTAGCTCCCTCTCCCTTGGAACTCTGCACTGGCCAGAAAGAGGGTGATTCATAAATCAAATTTACGGGGCCCACTGCCTCCCCGCTGGCCCACCTCCGCGGGAGAAGCCCTTGAATGCATGCGTGTAGGGGGCACAGGAATGCCCAGAGGAAAGATGCCTGGATGAGCCGGAATGTCCCACCCTCTGCCAGAAGAGAGAAAGTTTGTCATCTACGCAGAGCTGGGCTGTCACCACTCTGGGTTCTTCACTCGCCGGGCTCTGGACAACGAGCCCCCGACCTGCGGGGAAGCGTCTGGAAAGCGAAGCCCAGATCTGGGGACAGAACACATTTCGCACCAGCTCCGCGCCCCGCTCCCTCCTGGAACCCTCTTCCCAGGGCCAGGCACCTGAGTCCTTACCTGAAGGGTCTCCGTCACTTGCAAACTCTGCCAGCGGAGCTCAGCAGGCACCCGGGGTCCCTCTCTGCGACTCCCGCGTCCCGCTTGGCGCGCCCGCTCTGTGGGCGCCTTCCCAGCTGCTGCAGTGCCTTGAAGGAAAGCGGAGCCTGGATTTCCTTTCTCGCTACCAAGGCTCCTCCTGCCGGGCCCTGGGGCTATTTCTCCAGGTCTGGCTCAAGGGGCATCCTCTGCGCCTCCAGTGGGAAAGTGGGAGAGTGTGCGCCTTGAATTGCAGCAGCGGCGACAGCGGTGGCCAGGGACGAGGAGGCGGTGGCGACGCCAGCCGGCAAGCCAGGGAGGCGGGCGGAAGCGAGAGGAAGTGAAAGCCGGGCTCCTACGAGCCTGGCGCTCGGGCGGGCGGCACTGCGGGTGCCCCGAACCGCGGCGAGGCCCCGCGCGGGCACCCGCCCAGGGGATGGAGATGCCTGGGCCCGGTGCGCGCAGGACACTGGCTGCGGCTCGGCGCGAGGCTCCAGCCGTCTGGCTCTCGCTGGCTGCCTCGCCCCTGCCTCCTCGGCTGCCTCGCTCGCTCCCCCGGACTTCACGTCTCCAGCCCTAGCTCCCCGCGCCGCTGCCGCCGCCGCCAGCAGCGCGCCTCAGCCCGGCGCGCTCCTCGCACGGAGCCACAGCACTGCCTACCGCTTAACTCCTTGAATGCCACCTGGCCCTCCTGCAGCCTCCCGGGGAGCCGGGCATACCCGGTGCCAGGCCGGCTAAGCATATCCAGCAGGGGCCTCAGCCTTCCAGCCTCAGTGTCCTCTTCTGTAAAATGGGTTCGAGACCCAAGCCCAAGCCATAGGGTCGCTGGAAGAATTCACTGAGCGGATTTCGCAAAGTGCCAAGCTGCCTGACATGGGGAGTGTGCACCTCAAGTGGCAGAGTGCTTGCTGCTGCTGCTACTGTTGTCGACCAAGTAGCTTAGCACGGTGCCTTGCAAATAGTAAACACCCAATAAAGCGCAGTTTTGGTTTTTGGTATTTAGTTTGCAGTTTTATCAGGTGATAAGTTTTAGCGGTGTGACCTCTGGGTGATCATGATCACTTGCCCTCTCTGAGTCTGTTGCTTTCCAAGCTCTGTGACCTTGGGCAAGTCACAGCACCTCTCTGAACCTCTGTGTCCACATCTGTAAAATGGGAACAGTAATGCCCGCAGTCAAAGAGTTCCCAGAGAAGCTCTGGCAGAGGAGCCCTTCTCATGACGGGGCAGGACACCTAATGGGAGCTGGACATCTTTTCTTTCTTGATCTGGTTGGTGGCTCCACAGGTGTTTGTGACATGTCATTGAACTGTACATTTACATATCAAGTGCTTTTCTGTGCATGGGTTAAATCTTAACCATTTTCTTTTTTGAGTGACGATCCTTGAGCAAAACAGATCTGGGTTCAAGCATGGGCTCTATTACTTTCTGGTTGTGTCACTGTGATCAAGTTATTTCATCTTGAGGAGCCTCAGTTTCCTCATCTATAAAGTGGGAACAATGATAGTACCTACTTGATAGGTGATATAAGGATTAAAGGGTTTCAAGCAAAATGGCAGATGTGAAGCTTGAGGCCTGAACTCAACCAGTATCTGCTGGTACTGATCACATATTCTACAGTATTATATGTGTCCCATAGTAAAGGGGTGTCTGGGAAATAACAAAGAGAACGGAATTTGAATCTCTGCAACAGTTGCCAGGTAAAATACAGGATGCCCAGTTAAATTTTTAGTATAAGTCTGAAGTTTTACATGGGATATACTTTCACTATTTTTTTACATTGTTTACTTGGAATCCAAATATAATTGGATGTCCTTCATTTTATTTTGCTGCATCTTGCAATCCTAACCCCATAATTATCAGCTGTGTGTCCTGGGGTAAATGACTTAATCTCTCTGGCCTTGGTTGCCCAATCTGTAAAATGGGACTAAAGATTTCTTCTAATGTTGACAAGAGAATGAAATTGATTAAAGTGAGTGGGTGTTCCTAGCGGCACATATTAAGTCCTCCACATTTGTTCCGCTTCCTGTCAATCACATCCCTCCTCTTCTGTTCTTCCTCTTTTTCCCTACCTGTCTTGAGGTTGCCAGGCCTCTGCACAAGCATTGTTTAGCCCTCTTGCTGGCCTTCAAAACTAGCAGATTACGATTAGCTATAAAAAAATAAGCAGTAAAGTTTTAGAATTTTCGTCTAAAACATACACGCAATCAATTTTGCTAAGAAGGGATGAAGTCTGTTTTTTCTAGACCTAACCATTGAGCACACTCTAATTTTTGGTAAGGGCTTGTGCTCCACCCCTGTGTATCCCTGACATGATTTGTGTTTCAGGTTTCTGAGAGGAGCCTCATCGTCTCTCGTTGCCTTTTATTTCAGCTCAGAATTTTATTGTTTCTGGCTGAAGTCTGTTACAGGACTCACGGAGGTGGGAGAAGAAACAAAACGATCTTTGAAATAAATTATAAAGAGCAAAACAGGGTGATGTAAGAGAGTTTCCGAGCATTAAGATCAGCCGACGCCTCCGAACTACGTTCATAAAACGAGTCACTACCCCGTACATCACTGTCATTTGAACCACAGTGTCTATAAATAGGATTTGCTCTAATTTCCTCAGTAGCTGGAGCAAGTGGAGAGAATGTGTGAGTAGTGAGTGGGCTGTGTCAGGCGGTAAGCAACTTCCCTTAGATGGTATTGCTCTATTGTGGAAAGAAGGGGACTCGCCTTCAGAAATGTCAGGCATATCCTGACAGAGCTCAAAGGGTTGAGATGAAGGACTCTGGAGTCAGCCAGACCTGGAATGGAACCCCAGCTCTGCCACCTCCTAGCTGGGTGGCCTTGGGTAAGTTAATTAACCTCTCTGGGCCTTATCTTTTACAAAATTGAAAGAATAGTATTTCTAACTTTATAAGCATTTTGTGCAGATTAACTGATAGGCTCATACAGACAGTTTACCACAGTGTTGACCATGCATGTATTATGCACGCGAGCCATGACCTGTTATTATAATGATTCCAGATGGACAGTATATATCCAAGGCAAAGTGTGGATGTCATTTATTTAGGGCACTGGAGAGAATTCTAGTCTTGGAATTCAAGCATGTGTAAGTGTCACATATTTTTTTTTTCAGGTAAAAAACAACTGACTCACATTACTATTAATATGTGAAAGGGAGAATGAGGTTGGGAAGAGGGAGTTGCAAGGGGTCACTGTGACTTTGTCCTAGGGGCAGATATACACTGAAGGAGGTCTTTGAATTCAAGGAACTTGGGTGCAGTGTCCAAGATAGGTTGGTCATAACCTCCACAGTCCTGTGTTTCTCCATCGTCCGTGGAATCTCTCCGCTCTCTGGCCACTCCATTTAGAGCCCTGCTGTGAGCTCTCGGCATCCTCCTAGCCCATCTGATGGAGGCTGATGCTTGGTCTCCCAAGCAAACTCCTGGAGAGCAAGAGCTGTGTCTTGTAACCACTTCTCTGTTCCTAGCACCTGACATAGGGCTTGGCACATAGTAGGTGCTCAGGAAAAAGTTGATGAATGAAGAAAACTGTCCAGTATTATCATAAATATATAGAAATTAGAAGAAAACCTGGTATCTTAGTCTGTTTGGGCTACTGTCACAAAACATGGTAAACTGGATGGCTTACAAACAATAGAAGTTTATTTCTCATAGTTCTGGAGGCTGGGAAGTCCAAGGTCATGGCACTAGCAGATTTGGTGTTTGCTGAGGGCCTGCTTTTTGCTGGTTTATAGATGATACCTTCTCACTGTGCCCTCACATGGTAGAAATGGCTACCTAGCTCTTTGGAGACTCCTTTATATGGGCACTCATCTCAATCATGATGGCTCCACCCTCCTACTCTGATCACCCCCCCAAAGTCCCCACCTCCTAACATCATCACCTTGGAGGCTTGGTTCAACATATGCATTTTGGAAGGACACACATATTCAGACCAGAGCCCCTGGTATAATCAGGAGAGGTCATCCATCAAAAGTTCAGTATACAAATGTAGAAGAATATATATTGCAGCACTTTCTAATGGTGGAAAAATGGAAGGAATCTAAATGCCCATCAACAAAAGAATGGATGGATCAATTCCAGTATATTCTTAAAGGAGAGTACCATGCAGCAGTGAAAATTAATGAGCTGAAACTCTATGTATCATCACAGATAAATCTAAAATACTATAGTGTTGAGTGGGGGGAAAAAGCAAGTTGCCATAGGACGCATATAGAATTTTACTATTTAATAACATGCAAAAACCCGAAAAGCAATTCAATATGTTTTTATGCATACATATATGTAGTAAAATCATAAAAACATGATGGAATGATGAGCACCAAATTCAGGAGAGAGATTAACACAACTGGGAAGAAAGTGGTTTGGGAGGGTTTGCAAAGAGCTTTAAGTGTGTTTTTCATGTTCTGTTTCATAGAAGTTTGTTCTATTATTCTTTACACTTTTTTGTATGCCTGAAATATTTGATTAAAGAAAAAAGGATGATGCCACAGCTAAAAGTCAAGACCAGAGTGGAACTGGCCTCATTTCCACCCCATTCTAAAATTTGTTGGCTGTGTGCCTTGAGCAAGGGATTTAACCTCTCTGAGCTTCAGTTTCCTAAACATGATTCTTCCAATGTGATTTCCTTGAAGAATTAAATAAGATAAGCTACAGAAATTGTTTAAAGCAATATGAACACTCAACAGATAACTATTGTCATAATTATGACTCGTCAACAACAAGTCAGTCTCAAATTATTTGAGGGCTGGAAGCATCTCAGGAGATCATCCATTGCTAACCTTTCTTTACAGGTGAAATCCTTGAGACTAACAAGATTAAGTTGCCCGAGGTTGTATGAAATTCTCCATGTGCATGGAGGGTCCTCCTGGGTGAGGTACTGTATGGGATTTCCACTTTAATGCACTTCCTACAAAATCTCTAGAAACCTTTACTTCATTCCAGGGGACAAATGAC